AAGTAAGTTGGACCATAAAAGTTAGTTGGTAACTTGCATTTATACATTTTGTGTATAAATGAAGTAAATGATAAAAAACTTTTTTATAGCCATAGATTTCTCAAAATCGCGAACGTTATGGAACATACTTTTATTTAGGGCGCGTTTTGGTGGCTTCATCAGTTGACAACTGATAATTCACATTGTCATAACATGAATCAATGGGAGTATTCACTACACTTTTACAATGAAGTGAAATAAAAATAATGTGTATGTTTGCTGCCACTGATATGCATTGCGACAACTTTCTTAAAATGAAAGATGAGTTGGTGCATGAACCAGCAATTACTGAAATGTTTACGAAGTTATTTTTAATATTTTTACATGGGTATATAATGTTTACAGTATGTTACAGTAGAATCATTTTCAATTGTTCTGTTCTTAAAAATTAGAGTTGATTCAAATAACTGGAATCCTACTGTTGTAATTTTATCCTGCGAGGTTTTATGCTAGACTAGGGAGGACAAATCCTGTTTATCATATCACACAACTTATAAGAATCCATTATGTACTTGTGCATTTGTTCGACTAATATTAGCTGGCTGATCTTGCTGTCATAACACAAAATAAAAATCAAATGTTTCTTAACAATTATATTCCTATAAAAAACGAGAAAACGTAAACAGAGGATAAATGTGAAACATATTTTTCAAAGTGGTTTTAGAATTCTTTATTCTTGGCGTGGCACGCCGTTTTACTTTCTATTGGTATTTTGTAAAAATGAATTGTTTTGATTGTTGATTTTAGGTGATACATGAATTAAATTGATTGTTGATAATTTTTATTCGGCGCTGCGGTTGGACTATCATGTTGCCAGATTTAAAAATTCAGCTTCTGCAAGAATCCATTCGAAGCTAGCGCAGAATTAAAATTATCAACAAGTGTTTTAATTCATGTAACTATAATTATCAACAAACAATTTTATTAATGTTTCACAGAAATTGTAGTAAATTATTCGATAGTTACAAAAAAAATATATATGACAAACATTTACTTCAAAAAATGTCAAACAATGAATCTATATTATAACTGTTCGCAACTTTTCATCAAACAAATTAATTCATGTAACATTTTAAATCAAGTGTCATTTAAAATAGAACAAATTTTGCGAACAATCGTTTTTAATGTGTGGAACAAATGTATGAATCAATTAAATTCAAACAAATAAATTGTTAGTTGAATAAATTGAGGAATGAATATTTGTGATAATAAAAAGTAAAACGGCGTTCCATAATTAACACTGTTCAATTCTACATTGTAGAATAATCAAGTAATAGTTCATTTCTTCATAGATCAAATGGATTCAACGTTATGGTCCATTAAAAAGTAAATGCTATTGATTTTATGTTTGGGTCTTGATTCATTGACTGGAAAACAGACAAAACTAGAGCCCAAAAATGGTGAATTCGTGGTATTGAACTAGGAATGAATCAATTTTTGGGGCCCAGGTTTGAGAAATTTTGTACTGATTTCAACTTTGAGCAAATTGAGCAGTTGTTGAAGAAACCAAGCCAGTTAAGTTTTATTCTTGAACAGTTACTAAAATGACATCTACCTGTCACTTTCTGTTGCTGATATCAATTTTTCCTTGGCATTATTACTGAAAACAACAGTTCCATGGCCGTTGGCCTCAAAATATACTCCTATATCATAAGTTAAAGCCTTGTGATGCAAATGTTTCACACCAGTTGACACACAAGCTACAGGAACATTCTGCAAACATAAACAAAATGATACAATCAATATAATTGGGGAAAATATTTTTTGATATGGAAAAATATACTTGTGATGCACTCTTTGGAACCTTTGGTGTAGTAATGAATATTATTGGAGTTTTTTCCCAACACCAAACCATTATTTTAAAACCTCGACATGTGAAGATGATCACTTGGTGATCGAAACACCTGTTAAGGTGTTAAAATAATGGTTTCGTGTTGGGAAAAAACTCCAGTAATATTCATACTCTACAAGATTAACTATTCTTGCATTCCAATCAGATAATTGATTACTTTATTCAGTTGAAAAACAGACAAGTCATTTACTGACTTCTAGTTGAATTTGGTGAATAAAATAACATAAAATATTACATAGTAATTTATTCCATGTATTAGATATCAAGAATTTTTTAATTCATTAATCTCCATACTTTAGAGGCGGTTGAATTTCGAACCTTTCTTCTGAAAATCAAGAGTTTTGAACTCCTGCCCTTGTGTAAGGAAAGGAGTAGCATATGTTGAATTCATTTTTCCATTCTGTAAACTATTTCTGTTTTTTATGTGTTCTTTGAATGTTTTTCCAGTTTGACCTATGTTAAGGACACAATCCATATGACAATTAACAAACTTCGTATCTATCTGATAGCAAACTTTTGTGTATGCATTCAGTATGCATACTTAAGTTATTAATGGTTTAATGAGCTGTGATTACACCTTTATTTGGTAAGAACTTAGAAATCTTCATGTCATGTCAACCCAGATGAGTAGACTTTTGTAATTTTCATTCTTAATTCATGGAATCATGTAAATTTTCTTCATGGCTTGATTACATAATTTTTTGGACAACAAAGGATCTACTGATTGCTATAATAACCATTGTAAACTGTGATTTGTTTTATTAAATCAATCTATACTATTCACCTCTTTAGAGAGGGGCACGAGTTCAATCATGAATTGAAAACATTCTGGAAAGTATGGAAATTATTAAATTCAAAAATTCTCAATAAATAATGAAGATTCAACTTGATTTGAAATTACTGCTCAATCTGTTACTAGAAAATTATACCCAGAATAAATTACTATGTAATACCATTAACTTTATCTACCTGTTTTTACTAGAACTCAGCGAATTAGGCATCCAATATATCCAAACTTGAGGTTTAAAATTTGAAAGTATCAAAATCGCCAATTGAATTTAATATGAATTTCCTATATCTATTGTCATTTCAGTAATTCAGTTCTTTATAAGTATTTATAGTAATGAACTATCGTTCATTTTTTAAAAGTTTGTTGAAAGCGTATCTGTTTTTAATAGAAAATTTCAGTAAAAATATCCCCAAACTTGATAACACTAATTTATATGTTGAATGTTCTATAATATACTAACCAGTTTAGTCGATATGTATTCTGTAGAGGCTCCATTCGCATAAGCTGTCTGCACTAGTCCTAAATTTAAATCAATTCCTATATCCAGAAGAATTTCTTTGAGGTAAGAGGCAGCTAATGTTGCTATTCTGTCGCCGTCCATGAGATGGAATTTGTTATTTTCATCCATATAATAATAAACTATTCTATCAGCGTCACCATCAACTGAACAACACCTAACATTCGTCTCGACAGGAAGACCAGTAGGAAAGGATTGCTGGGATTTGACATAGTCAGCTCCACACTAAAAATATTTTTCTTTGCTTTACATAGTCTACTTCAATGTATGATCAAAATATAAATGCAATATTATCCGCAATCAGGATGTTAAGATTTGACATGCTCTGAATTATCTCTCCACACATGTACGTGTAATAAAAAGTGTTGGTAATGCATAAAAAACAATATTACCAAATGATTAAGTTTTCCAGATCCGATGATTTCATCATTGTACATTTCTATCAGTAGGGTGTCTCGCAAAGCTTCTTTTAGATATTTAACTTTTTTCGCTCCAACTCCATTAGCACCATCATATATTACTCTGTTAACGTAATTTCCTTGAGAAAAGACACTACCTCTGTATTTCTTGAAGGCGTTTGTAAGCTTTCTATAGTATCCTTCTTCCGTAGGTTGACCATATAATCTGTTGGTGTTTTTGCATACTACAAAATAGTGTAGTTGGGGCGTGGTAACGATACCGTAATCAATAGGTTTTCCTGATAATGCCAATACCCCGTCCATCACAGCTTTTGAAAGATGGATACTACTAGGTCTGGTATCTTTTCCTACAAGTATTTCTACCCTGTCATTCATATTTGTGATATTGTATTCTTTTATTAATTCATTTATAGTGTCTTCTAATTTGTCGTCACTAAAAGAGTTGAGAAAAGATGTGCAGATGAAAAAGGCAGTTGATGAGTGTACAAGAATTTAAAATAGGAATATACGATGGAATTGGCCGATACTTGATGAAAATCCATAACTAACGTATTCAAAAAACACTCTATTGTGAGATTTTCGCTAAACGATTTTAAAAAAACGCAACACATGTTTCGCCATACAATGGCTTCTTCGGACGTGTCTTTACTTCAGTAAAGTGTTTTTTGAATACATTAAAATAGCAATGAATACAAAGCAACTGTTTGGAAGCTTAAAAAAATTATTAGCTTTGTGAAAATAAATAATTAGCATAACATGATTTTACTATAGTGCTGATCAAGCTAGATATTACTGATAATAGAATTTAAATGTAAAGCAAGGTAATGTTATCAATCAACAACAGGTAGTAAATACTTTAGCACTCTAGCCTTAATAATGTCATTTGATATAAGATAAATCTGCTAGTACATTCAAAGTTCTTTACATCAGGTAGTAAGAGTTGGATAACAAATATAATTCCTGGCCTGAAAACAAGTACTTCTTGGAGTGTCACTGTTTTTCGAGTTTGAAAGCCGTGGATTTTTGGAATTTTTTCCTGACGTTTCGCTGGCGCGAGTGGCTAGCTTCTTCAGAGGTTCAACCATCATGGCTTGCTGTCCGATGCAGACTAGGCCAAGCGGACAAGTCAGCTGTGGCAGAACATGCGCTTAGTGAAGGACACCACATAATTTTGTTTGAAAACACAGAACCACCCGTACCAGTCGACTGGTACGGGAGGCAATAAAGATCCACAAACACAGGGAGAATTTCAAACAGAAAAGAAGAAGCGGTGAACCTCAATCGACTATGGAATCCCATTTTAATGAATTCGGGAATAACGAACAGAATGACAACAGGCAGCAAGATTGTTAATGTTCCAGGTTCGAGTACAGCTACAAGTACAGGTACAAATACAGGTTCCACTGATTACCTGACAAGGCATAAATACGCTTTACGAAGCTTAAAAGTTAGTTATCGGACAGCAAGCCATAATGCCTCTGAAGAAGCTAGCAACTCGTGCCAGCGAAACGTCAGGAAGAAATTCCTAAAATTCACGGCTTTCAAACTCAAAAACAGTGACACTGAAAACCTCAGCAAAGTCTAAACCATTTTGTCACTTCTTGGAGTAATATCGAAAAACCGATTATAAATGGTGTTTCATAAGTCACATTTCACCCATTCTGAGTAATTTTAATTTTTACATAAACCAGTTTTAAAACACAAGAACATTTCAATTTTTTTTAAGGAAGAAGCCTGATTGCCTGAAAATTATTGTTGTCTTGTGGTAATATCTCAGAATAAACTTGTGTAAGCTTGTTTCTTGTCTGCCTGTTTCTGAGCAGCAAAGACTGGATTTCTGTTAATTTCTACGCTAAGTTCTCAACATGCTAATTTCACCGCCGGTGTTCATGAACACTCCCAGAAGTGTGGTGTTCTTTTCTACTATTGTTTAATAATAATAATAATATCGTCTTTATTATCTTCTAATACATTCAAATCAAATTAATCATTGTAAAGAAGACAAAAGGAAAAGTTCAATTTACATGATGACAAGTCATCATTCAATTGCTCTTCCACTTAACCTCAAAAATGTCGCCTAGTACGGCGACTATTATGACTATTTATTCATTTGTAATAGGTAGGTAGCTATTGGGTCATTAATAGTTAAAGGATAATAAGAATCGTTTGAAATTGATATTAAAATGATTGAAGTCATCTCGTTTCATGGGCTCGGGAATGTCATTATAAATTGCACAGATCTGGTAGCTGAAACTCCTTCTAAAGAACTCTGTGCGAAAGGATGGCGGAGTTAGTCGGCCTTTATACCTTACATTAATATTATGCACATCAGTTCTAGAAGTAATTTTCTGGTGTAAGTAAGACGGCACTTTACTATTAATTATTTTGTGAAACAAAGTTGCAGTATGTAACACTCTCCTGTCGTTCATATTTAACCAGCCGGTATCCTTCAGTTCATGTGATATTCTTTCTCTTCTTCTAATACCAAAAATTAACCGTAGGCAGGAATTCTGAACTTTTTGTATGTTTTTCTTGAATTGGTTGGTTAAACATGGACCATACAAAACATCAGCATAATTGAATAAAGATAAAACTAATGATTCACACAAATTCGCGTTCACCTTCATGGGTAGGAAATTTCGGTGTCCATATATAATTTTGAGCGAATAATATGCACGCCTAATAAACTGATTAACCTAGCTTTTGAATTTCAAGTCCTTATCTAAAATGATGCCCAGGCTTTTGGCTTCTGGGACAACCCCAAGTACATGATCATTTACTACTACTTTCACAGATTTGCAAATATTATTTCTAGGACCTTTTGGTTCGAAAACAATAACATTGGATTTACTACAATTTATATTTAAGCAGTGATCAGAAGCATTTTTCACAAATAATTGCAAGTCACTATTGATTAAATCGAAGTTAATAGTATTGAACGCTCTACTAAAATCAAGAAGTACCAATACTGTATTATTTTTTTCGTCACGTGCTCTTATAATATCGTCCACTATATGCAACAAAGCAGTTGTACAACTATGTCATTTACGAAATCCGGATTGAGTTATTGGAGGTATAGAGAAATTGTCAATGTGTTCTTTCAACTGAACTTAAATAGCTCTTTCAAGAACATTTGACAAAGTTGGTAATAAACTAATGGCGCGTAGGTCTTTGTATTCTGATGTATTAATTTTTTTTGGAACAACTTTCACAATTGCTTCCTTCCATACCGTGGGAAAAATATTATTTTTAGACAAAAATTCACAATATGTGTTACATGTGGAATTATATGTGGACAGCACATTTTTATGAGTAAATCATATCCCATTGCATTTGTTTTTATATTAGAAATTGTTTCAAAAACGAACATATCATGTAGTTCTTGAAATTTGAAGTTAAAGTCTATCAATTTATTTTCTGTCAATTTATTTCAAATCAAATCAAATCAAAAAATCAAATCAAATCAGTTTATTCATTCAGAGGATCCATGAGGGTATAGAACATGTCAGGATATAATGTCTTAGTGCATGTATATAAATATAGTAAAGACTACTTACATAACTACAAGACAACAAAAGAAACATCGATATAAGTTATTTGCTTAAGAAGTTGCAATAAAAATTCATCAATGCTATAAAATAAATTTTCTTGCAGAAAGCGTTTTATGGAGTTTCGAAATTTGAAGTGTGTAGGCTGAGTTTTAATGCCAGTGGATAATTTATTGTAAATTCTCACACCTGTTGAAAGTGGTCCATTTGATGTTATTTGGAGATTGCTATGATTTGGATAGATTAGCTGATTATTTCTGGTTTGGTAGAGTAACTATACACAGTTGTGTCTATTTTTTGTCGTATAGCCCAAAGCAAAATAATGAACCACTTATTCACCTTACTTGCGAAACATTTTGCTTGCTGAGTTAGATCTAATAAATAAGTTTGTGTCATCTGCATATGTAGTGATGCAATAGGATACATAAGCATCAACAACAAATAAAATTGGGCCTGTTATACTGCTATAGGGAACACCAATATCATTTATTTTGACATCAAATTTAAGTGTTTTTTCATCTAAGGTTATTTTTTACTTTTTGTTATCGATTTGTTGTGTATGATGTGAACCAACCTAATGCATTTCCACGAATTCCATACCTCTTGAGTTTTTCAAGTAGATATTTATTATTGAGATAATCATATGCTTCAGATAAATATAAGACTATGCCCCACAATAATTGGTTATCTTTTATTAAATTTGCAATTTATTGATAAATTGCTTAATGACTGTATAAATTACAATTATTTTAAAAAATCATTAAATGGTCACAGATTGCCTTTTGAAATAATTTTGAAAAGTCTGGTAAAACACTAATTAGTCTGAAATTTTCAGACAACTCATCATCACTTTTTTTTGTCTACAAAACTTGCTGGAATATCATCATCACCAGTGGTGTGCTTATTTTTCAATCTATGTCCCAAGTTAGTGATTTCCTGCATGGTAATTGGTGTGACAAACATTCGAAACATTTCAGCTGAATTTCAGAAGATTCAAGTTGTTGAGCACGAAAACATACTTTTTGTGATTTTACTAGGATTCCCTTGTATGTGTGAATCATTTCTTTCATTTTTTCTAGTTACTTCATTATGTACACACCACATCCCTTTCTTTTTATTATCACATGATGTAATTTTCTGTTGAAAGCTTTCCTTCCGTTTTTGTTATAATCAGGTTATTATGTTGTGTTTTTGTTTTCAGTGAAAATATTTTTGTTTTTCTTTGAAAATGTTTGTCCATATTTATAACTCATTTTCTACATTTAGAAAAAGCTAAACTTTTCAGCTTTAATCTGTGATTAATGAAAAATAAAAGAAATGATTAATAAAAAAAAGGAAACGGATGTACTGTGTGATCCCTTATTATTAGTAAATATATTTTATGCACTTCTTTGAGCTTGATATTATACGAATATGATATGTAACTGCAAAAATAAAGAAAATGAATTGAGATGACTTTGTAAGCAAAACACTTGTCGAGACACAGCATTTTGTTCTTTTCTGAAAAAAGTGTTTTAATAGTTTTTTAAATGTATTTGCCAACTTCCTCTCTAGTATATTGAAGAAGTAATGAAATTACATTTTCTAATTGCACTTGGTCTATTATCTCTTGAATTTGAACTCAAACTTATAAAATATAAAAAATAGATATTCCTGTTGATATTATTTTACATGGTTTTCAAAGAGTGGCACTACCTTTGCTTTTCAGTAAGATCCCATAGCACAATGACCAATTTGGGATTAATTCTCCTTTATTTTTATTAGAAAATTGATCATAATATTGAATATAATTTGGTTCATTATCAGTAACATTTGCTTGAGATTTGATATATTTCAAAATTTTACTCACACGACATTGGCAAATTTTGTTGCCCACGCTTCCCATGACTGTTCCAACATTTCTCCAAAGGGATCAACCAATTTAACACCATTGTCAGGTTCAGGATTATGAGAAGCAGTGATCATAACACCAATAACAGCTACAAAATAACAGGAATAAAAAAGGATCATATTCTTCAATGATCTTACCTTTCTTGTACCTTGCCCTGAGGACAGCAAGTAGTCCCATACGGTACATAACATGGTCTAAATCTGTAGCTCTGAAATATAATTGAATAATCAATATAATTCATGTAGGTCACACCTTTGTAACATTATTTGAAAATGTTTATTACTTGGTTCTAAATCCAGCAGTTCCATATTGCAAATGGGCCTTGATATTCCTTGGATACATCTCCCTAGCGAAAGCATAGACAGTTCTGTAGCTACTATTATTTGCCATGCTGTCAGGAATTAATAAAAGATTAAGTAAAAGTATATACCACCTCTTGAATTTCACTCTCACTTTTCCGTCAGCTGTCTGTTTCGAGTGAGTCATCAAGAGGTTAAATGAGCAAAGACGTCGACACAGTGACAGTTAGCCTTCTTCTTCGTTTTTATGTTGATGGTTTCGGAAAGGTGTGGACTCATGAGAAAAATATAATTGATCCTTAGAATTACAAAAGGTAGATGACGTGATTGTAACTATGATGTAAATATACCGATAACGTTTAATTTTCGATTTCTGTTGGAAGGCAAGAAAATGTATAAGTCGAAGTTCTCGGTTATTCAAAAATAAGCTGACTACCTATTCCTTGTTGGGTATTTCGATAAAGAAATGGTGTGTGATATTGAAATTGCTGGGAATCATGATCCATCAAAAGACATCGTTGTTTCGACCAGTCAAGGTCTCATTAGTGGTGGAAGGGTCAACCATGCACAGTTAGACTCAACTGCCCTTAAACGACATTCCTGTGAAAGTAATTGCATTTCCTCTTACGAATGCGCTATCTGTGATATCGACAAAAGACTCAATCCACGAATAAGGTAGTCCATTGCAAAGCTTCGACAATGACTGCCAAGGAAGATTCTTCTGTCTGTCACTGAAATTTTCATTGCCAGGCATTCAGATGAAGCCAGAGTCCAAAAACGACTTGGATAACGATCCCATAGAGGAAGTTTTCTTAAAAGGATATATCATCGCCTTTGTTTAGTGAGACTTAACTTTTGAGGACAGTTGTTTTACAGTGCATCTGTTGTTGCATTACCATTGCTTTGTTTTTGAACTCTGGTTTCATATAATTGCATTGAAAGACAGAGGACGACTCTCATTCGGTAGATGATGTCGAATCTTGGCAACGGACTGCCTTGTTAGATATTGTAAACTTGATGTGAATTTGGGACTGTAAATGCCAATTACAAATGAGTTTCAGCAAGCGGACATTTCAATTTATGTATTTTATAAATTGCTTTTTATATTCATCATTACATATTAAATTTTCACTGACTTCTGATTTACAGAGCTGATGATAATGTGATATTGTCCTTTTGATTTTTAATTACGTATAAATCAGAAAATGTGCTATTGTATTTTCAAAAATAAGAACAGAAAATTGAATTTTTCATTCAGGCACAAAAAATAATAGAATTGAATTCAAAATAGGACTTGTTGATGTTTGGTTGATGTAAACACTTCGCGTGGAAATTATTTTCAAGTTTATAAACGTTAGTGTGTGCCTAAACACTTTTGCTTTCATAAGCATAGTCGACCAAAAACGGAATTTATCCTCGATATTTCTTCTCTCTCTTTCTAATGTACACATCACCAGGCGCAATGTCAAAGGTCATTCTATTGAGTGTACGGATAGTGCGCAATAGGTGATATTTTAAATTTATCGGCGAGGCCACCGATTGATCATTTGGATTCACATATTGGTCCATTCGGAACGCTAGCGTGTTTCTATTGATTGAAACAAACAATCGAATTTTTTCTCTTGTATTTATGAATTCGCCTTTATTCTGGGATAATTTGTGCTCGCACGGCGTATCGTCCGACCCGTAATAGGTGTTGCACGTTAAACGGTAAGACCACGTGCATTCTCAGTTGTATACGTTTCGACGCTCGATGTTTGTCGTTCGTATGGGTATGACAACTGGTCAACGGAAAAACTCCATTGTAATCCATTTTCAAAAATTAAAGTTATTTCATCTGAAAGGCATCTGAAAGGAGTTTTTTGCTTGCAGAGTGAATGTTGTAGTAGAAGGAGTAAAAATCCTAATCTTTCATGCACAAATTCAGTTCACGACTATTTGTCACCACTATTTGTAAACAAACTTATACCGTATCGTCCTTTGCAAACACACTAGGTTAGCGCTCTGTAAGCGCAGTACGAAAGCGAAGTTTTAGCGATTTCCTTGAAATGTGACTGTAGTATTTAGCAGTCAGCTATATTCTGAGCAAGGCGTTCAGTCCTAAGGGTAAGGGAGCTGAGCTCCAACCTGTTTGACACGAAGTGACTTTCCGATTTGAGCAAGGCGATAATAATTCACTGAAATGTGACAGAATTTTGGCTTTTTGAGTGTGTGTGAAAAAGTAAATCTTATTCTGAACGAATCGATATCACTTTGCTTTTGTTCTGTGCCTAGAGAGTTCTCTGCTTGACAAGTGAATATAGATAATATCCGAGTTCTCAGTGTCCTTGAAAAAAAGAAGGAAAGCAAAATTTATAACGTTTCAAATTGAAAGTGAATAAACAAACCATAATTTATTTATAATTTCGGATCTCACAAAATCTCGATCAAAAGATTTTCAGTTAAATAAATTGCTGAAATCTATTAAAAAATCTTCATTCTACCCTATCTATATAAAATACTCCGACACAGCGGTATAGGTACTGATATATGAGAACTGTAACATTTTTCTTGACGTGCATTTCACCAACCAGTTTGGCATCATCAGAAAATGAACTAAGTAACTTAATTCCTGAATTCAGACTTTGTATATTTATATCTGATAAGCTCTGTTGAAAAATCTGTTTTCCCTTTAACCACATGTCATTCCCTTACCAACGACCCCAAACTCCAAAAGTCGTAACTTGTGCCAGCTAAGGATTAACGAGGTCTTAACTTTTCACTAAACGAATGTCTTGGCACAAAAATATATGGTGGCTATTATATAATATCGTTATTGACCTCGTTTTCCAAAATAATTTAAAAATCAATTATTAACTCAATCACAGTCAATATAGTTACTAAACATTTTGAAATCGATAACTTTTATGTCCTATTTAACATGGCTTCAGAAGGAATAACAGACAGCTTCGTATCATCTAATGGGTCAAATTTACAATGAAATCGATAACAGTTTTACAATTTCTCTGTTTTCTAATCTCACTGAAGTCTATCATTCTGTATGGTCAGATAGTCTTTTATTCAGACTTCCAAATTTAGGACTTCCTATAAACATGATCAAATGTATCCAACCATATTTGGATAAGAGAAACACAGTAATGGTATGCCATGGATCAACCTACAATACAAGTAGTGAGAATCTCGAAGTGCCTCGGGGCGCAGTTCTTGACCATTACTGTTCTCAGTTGTTCTAATGCTAACAAACTTTCTTATTATAATAGGGAAGCTCAAGCGGGGATTTCGGAATTTACTGAAGCGCGGCAGATTAATATACAGGGGGATACCTTGTACCCGGTTAAGTACCTCCACCAAATATGTGCCCCATATATAAGGCCGCCCGTGAAGGATAAAGGATCAGATTAGTAAAAACAAACTGATCATCAGAAATTCTCGAGCGCGTCAGATTAAGGTAGGGTCAGTTGATTACATGATAAAAAGTGTATATTCCAGTAATCTGACAATTTGAGAGTGACGTAAAGAAAGGGGAGGGCAGCAAAGTTGTAAAAAAACGTCATCTGGACATTCTTGAGCGTAGCTATTATTTTAATTTTGGATTACAATCTGTCTTGGAACAAAAATAAATATAGTGACACTTCGTTGTGAGATGTTCACTGGGCAGTTTACGAAACCGAGACAACCGTAATAAGTGTTTCGCTATAGAAAAGCTTTCTCAAGCGTATTTTGGTTATTAGGCAACACCCGATTGCTAAACTATATGCATCCAACAAACAGAGTACCTAACCCAAACAAAGATAGAAGCGTGATCAAACCATGATCAATAGGAACATTTGCATCTATTGGGTTAAATAAATAGCCTCTCCACGCTGGCCAATCAGACTTAACTGCAATCGGCTGGCGGAATTAATTCAGTGTCGTGTGGTCAGTGTGGAGTGTACATATACGATATTTTAAAATTTAAATTTTTAAAAATGTCAAGTACTGACAAGGCTAAAGAAACTGCTAATTTGTATCCCTACACTTCACCTGAAAAGTTTTCCTATACCTATAATAAAATTTCAGTCGTTCCTTAGTGCGACTCTGTACAAGCAGCCTTGTACGGGAGACGTGCACTATGCATGATTATGTTTTGGAGCACTCTGTTGCTTAGATAAACAGAGTATAGAAATGAGGATCATCACATATGCACGGAGTCACGAATAGGAGCCAACCGCACATTTGTGTTTTCAGTTAGAAGACCCCATTCCTAGGAATCATTTAACATAACCATGTAGACTATTATAGCTACCTGCGTGACTTCCGGGTCCGGAATTTAATTACTTCAAGATATTACTTTGTGTGTCTGATCCAAATCAAAGAGAGGAAAGTTTGCGGACATAATTGTCAAAAAGAAAAGCAAACCGAAGACACGTGTCTGTGGCTATTGCTTCTTTCATACAATGAATGTTTGAATCTTTAATGCTCATCAAAAAATATTTTCAACATTGTTTGTATTTGTATCATTCCACACCGTGTTAGGAATCACACGTTGGAAGGTAGGACCTCGTTAGCCTTCAGCTCGCACAAGTTTCGACTTTTGAGAGTTGTCATTCCTAGGGGAGCCACAGCTGGTTAACGAAAAAACTGATTTCAACACCTTTTATGAAAATGGCGAAAGAGACAATTGTATGCAAACGTTCTATAGAGGCATAGAATGGCGAATTCGCCACGGATAATCAATCTAGGCATAATGACAACTAGAGAAACAAAAAAGGTAGGAGAATAAGAACAAGTCAGGAGAAGAAAAAAAATTAAAATTTAGTTTGAGCCAGTTTAATCAAATCATCATCTGACCAGATCTTTGATTATTCAAATCAGTCGATAATGTTTTCTGGGTACTCATTAAATTATTGCTTGTAAGATAATTATCGATATGCACAAGATCCACAAAATCGTTTAGAATGATAGTAAAGTAAAGTTGCGCGGGTTAGCTGACATTGTAAATGTATCAAAAGAATGAAGAAAAGAGAATTGAAACTTTATATGTTTTTTACCACTTTTATTTGAGTTACTGCAATTTCGTCCAATAAGGACATTTTCAAACTTATACATGTCTACGTACATGTACCTTGCATGAGAATTTGACTATGACAAAGCTCTGTTCAAATTCAAGAACGTCTTGATGACTCTGAGTAGTGTTTGGCTATGTTTAAACATAACCCGG